GTCTAAGTTTCAGTGATAACATATAAGTCGCTGTTGAAAGTTAACAATTAGTGGCGGCTTCTTAAAGTCATCACTGATTATTAACATATTTTAAAATATGTTATTTTTTTAAAAAAAACTTATGTTATAAGTTTATAAGTCGCCGCTGAAAGTTAAGAATTAGCGACGACACTAAAAATTTACCATTGAAAATGAGACTTTTAGTAGCAACTTTGAGTGTCGTCGTTGAAAGTTTAATTTTGTATTATCATCATAATTTTTTATTTTTATTTATCTAATATTTAACATTTTAAAATATTAATTTTGTTATATTATTGTAATTTTATAATGAATATATAAAATAATATAATGAGTTTTTATTTAATATATTCTATGATTAAATTGTAACTTTAAAATAAAGTTAAGATATTATTTAATACTAATGAGCTAGAGTAAAGAATTAAGCCAAACCATATTATTTTACACGTGTGTTTGGATTAAAAAATTCACAATTGAGGTTAAGATTCAACTAAGGTTAACAAGCTAAGGTTGGAAGAAAAATCAGTAAATGTAATATGATTTATGTTTGAATATTTTTTTTAAAAGTTAGTTAAATAAACTGAAATTTATTTAGATAATTTTATTTAAAAGCCGGTTGAGATATTTAATGACTAAAATAAGCATGAAATTTTTAAGATATATTTTTTGACTAATTAATAAATAAAAAATTAAATTTAAAATTATAACTTATAAGTGAAAAATCTTAAATATTCAAGATAGAAGAGAAGAGAGAGAAAACATAAGCCATCGAATCAATATAGAAATCAATAACACTACTTGTTTATAATAATTAGACATGTGATATCTAAATTTATTTATTCATAGAATGATATTTTATCTAATCTAATTTTTTAATTTAAATTCTACATTTAACACCAATAACTTTAAAGCTTGATGTCAATTTAGAAATATAAATAATTATAAGCTAATATATAATCATCAATATTTTTACTATTTATTCTTAAATATTTGTATATTATAATTATAAATATGAATATTAAAATAAATAATATAACAACCTCAATAAGTAAAAAAATTAAAATAAATAATATAGATGATAGTGTATTAATTATATTTATAGTTTACTTTAAACAAAATAAATAATATAATTTATAATTTTATAAATTAAAAAAATTAAATTGAAGTATTTATGGATAGTAATGATATTTTATAATATTTAATATTTAATATGTGTGTGTGTTTGTATAGTTTAATAATATATATATATATATATATATTTAATTATGTAATAATAGACTACAGGTTCATTTCAACTCAATGACAAAATGGTTAGACACAAAAGAAGGAGGTAATGGATTCAAACCTTGAAGAAGACAATTTTCAAAATAGAAATATAAATTAGTGACATGATGTATTGTCACCGCATATTGAATCAGCGCCACAATAATTTTTTGTTGCTGTTGAAAACTTTTAATAGTGAGTTTTTAGCTTTTAGTAGTGACAAATGTCACTATTAAAAGTTAATTTTTTTGTAGTGTCATAAAATATATGATACTTTAAAAACTTAAAAATGCTTAATTTTAAAATATATACTTTCTAAAAATATCAAAATATGCATACAAATATATCAATACAAACATTCTGTTTCCCTTAAAGTTTTTTCCAGGTTCCATCCCTGAGCAAACAGTAGAATAAAGGTAATTCAAAATTAGCAACATATTACTTCCGATCCTAATTATAAAACATTTTTTAGAAGCAATTTCTTATTCAAAACGTAAGACACATTCTAATATATAAACTATATTTTTTTTCAATGTTTTCCTTTCTTGATTAACGTGATATGAGTTATGTGTTGTTTAATTATGAGAAGTCATTTAAAGTATAGGCATAAATTGTATCATTTAATGATATTAGAAAAACTGAAATTTTTTAGATGCCTGAAATAACAGAAAATGTTCTACAATAAAAATAAGATAGGGCATAAAAATAAATTAAATCGTTTCAAAAGAATTTCGATCCGTGAAAAAAAAAAAAAGTTCAAGTTAAAACTGAATGACAAAGTTTTTGTGGAATTTTTTAAGCGAGAGCACTTTCGTTTATTTCGAGGTTTAAGCTCTTCATTGCTACGCTACACGTACTATCATTCAAGGTCCAAAAAGGCCCTTAAAAGATAATGTCATTATCCATTCATGGTCATTTTTCTCTCTCATACACAAACAACTTAATTTTTAATTTTTAATTAATGTCGCCCACCAAAAACAACCCTTTTTAAAATCGGATAGAATATTAAATAAAAAAAATCAACAATTTATGGTTTGTATGGTTTAACATTGGTCCAACCAGTAACATAATAATTAAATTAAAAAAATTATATATGTATATAATAATTTAAATATAAGAAATACATATGAAATTGCTATTTAACTTAAAAAATTAAATATTTTAAGTTTATCATGACTTAACAAGCCATATGATACAATATAATATTAAATGATTAAAAAAATTAGTCATTTTTTTTAAAAAAAATTGATAAAAAATAAAAAAGTTTTTAAACAGTTCGGTTTTTGAAAACCAGATCTGATTTCCGGCTTGATTTCGGTTCTCAATCCGATCGCCGGTTCAAAACGGCTCGAATCGGCTCAACTCTTAAAATAGTTTTTTTTCTTTGAATCAGATCGGTCGACGATCCGACCCGATCAATCGAGTCCAGTTTTCAAAACAGTGTCAGAGAGAGAAAGGGGATAACAAGTAATAATTGCCAAATAAGCCAAATAATTCAAAGGCTATGAACCATTTTGCTGTTTATCAACTCCCCACACCGTGGCATTACCCATTCCCAGCGAAGCCCACATTCTCTCCAATCAACTTCTTTTGTCTCTTTCCCCATATTCTCCCTCCTCTATCCTTCGTTTTACGCTTCACTCTTCAAATTTCAACGTCGGCTACTTTTTCAATTTTTCTTCTTCTTCTTCCTCATCATTCTTGAACATATTTGTGACATTTCTTATGAAATTGTTTTATAGTTTAGGTTAATTAATTTTCAAGTTAACCACAGTTAAATACTTTATCTAGTAGTGTAAAGTGTTACCGTGCTTATGTAATGTTACATTTGGTACACAATGTTTCTAAGATTAGGAAAGTGCAATGAATGTGTTTATTATGTTTTTACGTGAATAAATGATATTATAAAATAGAAATATCAAAATATGAAAAATGTCACATAAATTATTACAATTTCTATCTATATATGATTTAAAATTTATAAAAAATTTTTGTAAATTAAAAAACTCATATGAAGCATATGGCCAATTCTATCCTTACATGTATAATAAGATATATTTATATCTTGTGTTCTATCAACGTTGCGAAGGTATATGGTGTTCAGACCAAAAAAGAAAGTACATGGTCTTGGCTCTTAAATATAAGATGTTAAATGTAACCAAAATAATAAATGTCAATTACTATATTGAATTGAATTCTTATAGTAACATATCTTTTAGAGTTATGAGAAAATATACACAATCTCATTTAATTTCAGAGTAAAATATTTTGATTACTTTTTCATTTTGTTTTAATTAGACAAACTTCCTTTCTATTTTAAAAACAAGCAAGTTAGTCTAATCCATTAATTTTGTCAAGGACTATTCTAAAGAGATTCCAAAAACTTATTTTTAAATTTAAATTAAAAAAATTTTATTTACTAATTTGCCCCTTACCCTAACAAATCATAGAATATATTACTGTAAAAAAAACATGCTTATAAATTTTAAATTTAAATTTCTTTATAAAATCTTTTAAACTTATGCCATTTCATATTATGCGATGAACAAAAATGCATTTAAAATATATTTTTAAAAATTTTAAAAAATATAAATAAATAAGTTTCAATAAATTTTATAAAAATTAAAATCATAAAATTTTATAATATGATAAAATTAATAAATTGTATAATATAATTAAAATTTAAAAACGTGTTTATTATATTTTTTATTCAATTTTTTTTGGAAAATATAAAAGGGTAATTCTGGTTAAATGAAAAAATTATATGTCAAATTTAATGATCAACTATTAGTTGGATGTATGAAAATGGTATGCAAAATATAGAAAGAAGATTCATATAACACACATTTTAATTTTAAAAAAGGTTTATATAAATTTTCAAAATAGAGATGAGGTCTATATCATTAAGGCATAATAAAAGGGTGTTCAATGTAATTTACGCTTAATTTTATTGATATTTTCTAAGATATCAATATATTTTTTATGGAAATTTTTGTGTGTTAATTAATTAAGATATTTTTGTATTTTAATGTATACTCCCTCCATTAAAAATATAATATATTTTTTAAGGGGTTAGATATTTAAAAATATAAGTTATTTTTAATTTTTTAAGGTATAATCGTTGTTTTTTTTCAAAAGTGTTTCTATGAAATAAATTACTTTATATTTATCTTAAAATGAAATATCCTATAAAATAGGTGTAAATATAAAAAAATTAAATTAATTTAAAAATAAGTAATTATTTTATTAAAAAGTGAGATTCGATTAAAAATATCTTATATTTTTAAATGGATGAAGTAATTAATATTTTTTTAAAAAAATGCTATTAATAAATGAAACACTTTATGTTTGAGGTTATGATGACATTTTAATAAATAAGAATAAGAATAAAAATAATATTAATTTAAATAAAATTAACTAAACATTAATTTATTGAAATAATGTTGGTTGAAAATATCTCCTGTTTTTTCATGGGGCATATTTACGAAACAAAAGTCGGTATGCCCTTCCCTACCAACCAAGGGCAATATGGTCATAACAATAAACTCGCACGCACGCCCACGTTTCAAACCAAAAAAGCGTCCCTTCGAAGTGACGAGATTACCCTCAAAGTAGAGAATAAATGAACGCAAGGCAAGGGCGTTTAGGTAATATGCCAACGGAGGAATGGATGACGACAGATAAATAAGATGATGAAATAGGAAAAAGAAGGAACGCGAGCGTTCCACGCAAAAGCACACAAAGGGGGGCAAAAAGAGAAGAGAGAGAAAGTGAGAAACAAGACCGTTTTGAGTTTGAGAGACGCCATCGGACTTGAAATCTACAATTCGCCGGAATTTTGAAACTGGTTTTGCTTCCGAACACTAGGGTTCTTGTCCGAAGCCACAAGAAACTTGGGGAATTGTCGCCTGCAGAGGCTACTTTAGTTTGAGATTCTCTTCGGTTGCTTTATGAAGTTGAATTCGGAACCTGCGATTCTGGATTTCGAAGAGCTGTGGGAGTTCAATTTGGAATCAAGAGGGTTGGGTTTTGTTGGGAAATTTTTGTTGTGATGTTTACGCCGCAGAAGTTGTGGTCGCTCACACCCAAGAGGGGAACTTTGTCCGGTCCCAATTCTGGTGATGGCACTGCTTCTAAAGGGAAGAGTCTTGCTTTTCTTGAAGCCAAGACGCTGGCTTCTGGTTCTGTTCGGGAAAATGGGGACAACGGATTAGTGGGATCCGGTGGAGCAGCTATGGATCGGGAAGTTTTAGTTGAGAGAATTTCCAGTCTTGAAAAGGAGGTTAGTTAAGCAGTGACATTCATACCTGTGAAGCACGGACAAATTCAAAAATAAAATAAAATAAAAGCATTGTTTCTTATTAGAAACAGTAACACTTCGAATGGCACTTACGCACTTAGAATTTGGCCGTATGGCGTGTCTGTGATATGCCCTTTGAATATCCTTGCGTTTTGGGTTGCATTAAATATGTAGCTTGGATTTTTTTTATGTTACTTGCTCGACTTATTTAGCTTGAATTACCTTCAAAATTTAATTTGCTGGGATGCGAGGAATATCTGTTTTTTTTTTTTGGGAAGGAAGAAAGCAGTGAAGTTGTTGTTTCTTTTTTATTATTTTGGGTAGTTTAAAGCTTACTAGCTTTTTTTACCATTTTGTTTTTGAGGATTTTTGGTCGTAAAAGTCCTTCATTGAAACTAATTTACTTATCCTAGATAAATCGGTTCTGATATTGGAAACTTAGCTTTACACTCTTTGAAGTTCGCAAAAGAATTGCTTTTTGTTGTTGTTGATATTTTTGATTACTTAGTGTGGGTGCAGATTCAGAAACTAAAATTCTGTAGTGGGGGCTTATTAATTGTTATGTTTGCCCAGGAACATTGCTCGGTTATGTTAGTCCTTAGTAATCTGGCAACCGAACCTGCTGTTATTGAAGTAGTTCAAGAAAAACCTTTTTCCTTCCTTTTTTATTTGCAAGGAAAGTCAATCTTTGGAAAAACTTTTTATGTGATTGAAGATTGAGATAGGAGACAGCTTCTTCATTTCTCGTGTTATGGTAGATCAGCAAAAGTATCCATTTGTTCATATGTTGTTTGTTAACTGCGGGGAATTATGGTTTTGCCTTTCCACTCTTGAAGACTTAATTTATGTTGATTTTTGAGATTTGGATAGCTCTGGAAAACATGAATATTGTGGCAACGTTCAATTATAAAAATGTAATGTTATTATTAAAATATGTCTATTAAATTAGCTCGGTGCTATTTGAAAGAAGAGTGATGATTTTGAGGGTTGAACATTATTCCCAAAACTTCATGCATGTGGGATGTTTCGACTTTCTTTTTCAAGTTTACGTTTTTGGGTCTTTCTATTTGATGTTTTATACCTGATCATGTGTTTTTGGATCAGCTTTATGATTACCAATTCAATATGGGGCTTCTATTGATTGAAAAAAAAGAGTGGAACTCCAAGTTGAACGAGCTAAGCCAGGAGTTACAGGAAGTGAGGGATGCTCTTGAGCAAGAAAAGTCAGCTCATTTAATTGCCATATCTGAAGCTGAGAAACGAGAAGATAATCTAAGGAAGGCCTTGGGTGTTGAGAAGGAGTGTGTGCTTGATGTAAGATTTCTTTATGCATAATTTTTGTTTTCTTGCCTTATTTGATGAAATATTGACCTCATGGATGATGTATACTTCATCATACCTTTATCATTGTTGTTGAAGTATGTCTATTGCTTGATAATATTTGGAAATTTACCCACCAACAGCTTGAGAAGTCTTTACGAGAAATGCGTGCTGAGCATGCAGAGATCAAATTCAGTGCAGACTCAAAGCTGGCTGAAGCAAATGCTTTGGTGGCTAGCATTGAAGAGAAATCTTTGGAAGTAGAGGCCAGGTTACGTGCTGCTGATGCCAAGCATGCAGAAATGAACAGGAAGAGTTTAGAGATGGATAGAAGATTGAAAGACTTGGAAGCCCAAGAATCTGCACTTCGAAGAGAGCGCTTATCATTTATTGCAGAGTATTCCCAAAGCTGTTTATTTTTATTGTTGTTGTTATTGGTTGTTATGAACTCACCTTGCTTTGATTTATGACAGGAAAGAATTGCACGAGAGTACATTATCTAAGCAGAGGGAGGACTTGCGAGAATGGGAAAAGAAAGTGCAGGAGGGAGAGGAGAGGCTAGCAAAGAGTCAGAGAATTCTCAATGAAAGAGAGCAGAGGACAAATGAGACTGACAGAATATTGAGGCAGAAAGAGAAGGAACTTGAAGACACTCATAAGAATATTGAAGCCTCCAATGTGGCCTTGAGAAGCAAAGAAGATGACATAAACAGCAGGCTTGCAAATATAAATCTAAAAGAGAAGGCAAGTTTTTTGTTTTTTGAACCATTCTTTGGACATTACTTCCTTTATTCTGTATGATGTATTTTATCATTATGCATTGAATGTCAATATCCTTTTGACGCAGGAATATGATGCAATGAGAATGAAATTGGACCTGAAAGAGAAGGAGCTGTCTGTGTGGGAGCAAAAGCTCAATGATAGAGAAAAAGTATGTTAATTTCCTTGATCTTTGTTAATAGGAAATTCTTGAGTTGGAAGGCGATTGACGTATGCACATTGCTGAATCATCTGTGTAGCTATTTTGAAACTTTTGGTCATTCAAAAAGTTAGCAGTGTTTGAGTTCTCAACTCTTTTTGGTGTAATTGAAATTGAAATGGATGGAAATTGGAACAATTTTTTTCTGAATTGTTACTCTGATGCAAAATTTTAGTGTTTGGGATCCTAAACCTTATCATCAGTTATTATTGAATTCAATGTCCCTACTGCTACTCTTTTCCCCCCCCCCTTACGTATTGATAAGTATGTCTCGTACTTTTTGCAGGTTGAGATTCAAAAGCTCCTTGAGGAACACAAAGCTACACTTGATTTGAAAAAGCAGGAGTTTGATGTGGAATTGGACGAGAAAAGGAAATCTTTCGAAGCTGGACTACAGGATAGAATGGTGGAACTGGAAAAGAAAGAGGTAGAAATCAACCACATGGAGGAGAAAGTTGCAAAGCGTGAACAAGCATTGGAAAAGAAAACAGAGAAGCTTAGGGAAAAAGAGAAAGAGTTTGAATTGAAATTGAAAGGTTTGAAGGAAAGGGAGAAGTCTGTTAAGTCTCAGGAGAAGAACTTGGAGAAAGAGAAAGGGCAATTAGAATGCGAGAGGGAGAGATTGCTCAGTATGAAAACTGAAGCTGAGAAGATAAGGACTGACAACGAAGAAGAGCTGCAAAGGATACATGAAGAGACAAATCGTCTTAAAGTGACTGAGGAAGAGAGGTCAGAATATGTGCGCTTGCAGTCAGAATTAAAGCAAGAAATTGATCAGTACAGGCTTCAGAAAGAACTGCTTCTGAAAGAAGCTGATGATTTGAGGCAGCAAAAGGAAATTTTTGAACGAGATTGGGACGAACTTGACCTGAAAAAAGCAAACATTGACAAGGAGCTGAAAGCTGTGACTAAACAGAAGGAAGAAATATCTAAACTGCAACAATTTGAAGAAGAGAAGTTAAAGAATGAGAAGCAGGCAACTGAAGAATACTTACAAAGGGAGTTGGAAGCTCTTAAGTTGGCTAAAGAGTCATTTGCTATTCAAATGGAGGATGAGAAGTCTGAATTAGCTGAAAAATCTCAAAGTGAGAGGAGCCAAATGCTTCTGGATTTTGAGCTGCGGAAAAAAGAACTTGAAGCTGATATGCAGAAACAGCTAGAGCAGAAAGAAAACAATTTCCTAGAGAGCAAGAAATTATTTGAGGAAGAAAGAGAGCGGGAATTAAGTAATATTAACTATTTGAGAGAAGTAGCCCACAGAGAGATGGAGGAAATGAAACTTCAAAGGAGTAAAGTAGAAAAGGAAAAACAAGAAGCTGCTGAGAATAAGATGCATATGCAAAGGCAGCGGCTGGAAATGCGAGAGGACATTGATGTGCTTGTAGACCTTAACAGCAAGCTGAAAAATCAACGGGAGCAGTTTGTAGAGGAGAGACAGCGTTTCATTAATTTTGTTGAGAAACTCAGGAGTTGCCTGAATTGTGGTGAAATGGTCTCTGAATTTGTGTTGTCTGATTTACAATCCTTAGCTGAAATTGAAAAGATAGAGGTTCCTTCACTTCCAAAATTGACTGATGATATCATGCAAGGTAGTCCTGATGTAAATCTGGTCTCAGGGCAAGATACTGGAGTGTCACCTGCAACTGTGTCAAAATCTCCAGTCTCTGGTGGAACAATATCTTGGCTGCGAAAATGCACCTCTAAGATATTCAAAATCTCCCCAGGTAGAAAGATCGAGTCTGAAGATGTCCATGCTTCAAGAGAGGCAGTGACTTTGTCTGTTGAAGAGGGTAGACTTGAGGAACCATCAGGGGGAATTCCTGGCCCTGAAAACGAAGAAGAGTTATCATTTGCAATTCTAAGTGATTCTTTTGGTGTTCAGAGGACCCATCCTGACAATGACCTGACACAGGCTGAAGCTGAGAAAGATTTATCCATTGACAATCAGAGCAATATTGACAGCAAGGCACTGGAAGCTCCAGAAGACTCTCAGCTTTCTGATTCAAAGGGGGGTCAGCAGAAACCTCGCAAAAGAGGAAGGGCCAGAATAAAGCGTAATTACTCTGTGAGAGCTGTTGTCAAAGATGCTAAGAACATACTTGGGGAACCCTTGAATGATGATGAGACTGAATATCCAAATGGAACTGCTGAGGATTCTGCCAACGTAGATAATGAGACACGGAAACCATCCAGGAGAAGAATGCCAGCAAATGCCAGAAAACGAAATCATGTTCAAACGTCTCAAATGACAGAGAGTAAAAATGATGATGTCAATGAAGGACAATCTGATAGTGAAGTACAAGGGCAACCAAAAAGGAGGAGGAGGAAGGTTGCTCCTCCTGTGCGTGAGCCAAGATATAATTTGAGACGACCCAAAGCGTAAGTGCTTTATTCTGATTCATATATGCCAATATGGATTATCCACCTCGAGCCAATCTGACCTCATCTTACTCATTTGGAGAATAGAAGAGGGAAAAAAATCGATGCATGTTACAATTTTGATGTTCATACTTTGTAGAATCGAATAAGTTTTCCTTAAAGTTATTTTGTGCTGGAGCTTGTTAAAGTAATTTTTACATGCTGTCATATAGAATTTTCTTAACATTCTGGTTCTATGCTTGATTTGGATTCAACAATGCTTTATTGCTTGATCGTTAGCTGATATCATCTCTTATATATATCTATTTTAATTTTTAATATTTATTAGACCATTAGTTTTCTTTTAAATTTTAGAGTTGATAATAGCTGTAAAAAAATTACTGGCCTTTTCTGTCTACTGACGTGGTTGCACACTGATTGCTATAGTGGAACAGCAGCCACATCTAGCCGAGCCTTGTCTGGAGGCGGTAGCAAAGAAAGTGAGGGAGAGGTTGATCGTGTAAAAGAAACAGAGGATGCAATTTTTCACTCTAAAACTTCTTCACTCTCAATGGGTGTCCCTAATGAGAATGGTGGGAACACACTTCCTGTGCAGGTGAGCATAGCACATGGCATTTTATGTTTGCATCTTGTCTCCCTGTTATTTTTTTATTTTTAATTTTTTTATAATCTATGTTTGATTTACCTTTTTCGTCATTAAACCATTGAAAGTTTGGGATTGAGAATAAGCTCTAAATTTTGATGTGAAACTGCATGTGTTTCAGTCTGAGAAAATTGTGGAGATCCAGGATGGCTCTGGTGAAACGACAAGGAACGCTGCCAACAACACTGCCTTGAGTGAGGAGGTGAACGGAACACCGGACGATGCGGGGAATCACGATGCCGAGTATATGAGCGAAGAGTCCCGTGGCGAAGACACAGCAGACCGTGAAGAAGATGAAGACATTGAACGTCCTGGGGAAGCTTCTATAGGGAAGAAGCTGTGGAATTTTTTTACAACATAATTCTTTTCTTATGTTGCAGCTTCAACCCTTTAGGCATTGATGTCATTGGTAGGCTGATGGGTAGTAGTCTGTATTAACTGTTAAAAACATAAATGTAAGTTGTAACCACGCAAGTACCTAGGACTACTCAGAGCAGGATGTTGGATTTTTTTGTTTTTTGGTGCTCATTTTTATTTGGGGTCAAGGACATTAAGGCCCTCTGTACTATTGACAGTCTTAGGCATTGAATAGTAGTAGTTTTCAGTGTTAGGGTGGAAATTAAGCTTATTCCTCTATTGAAAAATTGATTGTTGTATCAAAATGTTTTAGAATCTTCTCTGAAATGTGACTTAATGTTGGAATCGGCTTTGCTCCTCCTTGGAGGAGATCCACTCCAGATCCAAAATCTGGACTTTTCAGATTAGGTTCAGAAATGATTTGGATTTAATATTTTATTCTTTATTTTTATTAAAATAAAAAATTATGAAAAAATTTAGTAAATCTGATTACCAATATGGATAGTTTAATTTTAATATTAATGGTCTAAATTTAATATTTAAATTTTTGATAAATTTTATAAATAGATTAATTAGATTTACAGATTAAATATAAAATATTTAACTTGTAATTTTTTTAAAATATTTTTTTAAAAATGTTTGTTAGTAGGTATTTGTATTGTGCTAATGTCAGAGGATATTCAAACAGTCAATTTATAAAAATTTTTAATATTAAATTTGGATTAGTCATCTATAGTGTTTAGAGTACAACTGTTTGAATAGGCAATTTAAAAAAACTTAAATATTAAATTTAGATCATTAATATTAAATTTATATTGTTTAAATTAATGATTGGATTCATTAAATTTTTTTATAATTTTTGTAATTTTTTAATAAAATATTAAATTTGGATAATCTCTAGACCTAATCTAGACAGACTAAACTTTAGATGTGCAGCAGGGGCTCCCCCTCCCGTTCATGTTTACGGTGCTTTACCCATTGGCGTTGCTGCTCCTTAAGATATACTTCGGCAAAGTTAATCAATTTTGTGATTATTAAAAAAATGATTTTTTTTTTAGGGGAGAGAGGAGAGAAAATATTTTTTGATTAAATTATCCTTTTTATTTTAAAAAATTTAAACTACCCTTGATTTTATAAAAATATACCTTACTACTCCCCCTCTCTCTTATTATAAAATAAATTTTATTACTTTATAATTATTATATAATTTTTTAATGTATAAAATTTTAATATTTGATCTAACACCTTGATAAATTGCAATATTGATGTATTGGTTCTTACAAAAAATTAATGTAAGTTGAAAATATTGACATCCTTAAAATAAGAAATTAATAAATTATAATATAACTATTTTTTTGAATAATATATAAAAAGCAAAAAAAAATATTTAAATTTGATAGGAATAAAATTATCAACTTATTACTAGCTCCCATCTCTTTGTCTCATGAATCAAACAAAGATTCATTAAAATCCCTTCATTTCCTCCCATTTCCTACAATCAATCTTAACAAAGGATCATTAACTCTCCTCCGTTTTATTAAAATCTTTCCTTTCCCTTCACTCCATTGAACCAAAGAGATGGCAAAAGGTTTTTGCTTGTGGGGCAATTTTTATAAAAGACAAAGTTCATTTAAGCATAGTTATCAGTTATTACTGAAAAAAAGTATGTCCAAATTTTAAAAGCACGTCATTACTCAAACAAATCAACATGTTCAAAATTTGCTTCACTAAAGCTCCTCCGGTTTTTTTTTTTTTTAAATTTTTTCATAGATAAAACTTCATATTAATGTGGGAAGCAAATTTGGTGCTCATCAGGGGTGATGAGCACGCCCCGAACCACTCTAAATGGTCTAAATTAAACTATTTTTATTTTTTAAATAAAATTTTATAAAATTTTTAATAAATATATTTATTATTAACATGTACCGTTCATATTTAATTAGATCAGTCTAAATTTAATATTAATTTTTTTATAATTTTTTATAGATTCAAAATATAGATTTACTTTGAATTGTTTTAAATTTGACAATATAAAATGTTAAAAATTTTGAATTTGAATTCTGAACAGTACAAACTAAATCTGTATGATCAATTTATAAAAAAATTAATATTAAATTTAGACTCATTTGATTAAATATGAATGATACATTTTAATAATAAATATGTTTATTAAAAATTTCATAAATTTTTATTTAAAAAATAAAAATTTAATTTAATCTGAATTGTCTAGATTGGTTCAAGGATGATAAGCATGCGGTGCTCATCACCTCTGATGAGTATCAAATGTGCTCCCATTTAATGTCTAGTAGAACATTCTTTGCAATTATTACTTTGATCTTATTTATAAGATACTTTCAACATGTTTTATCAATATCAAAAAAAACCTTAAAACTCATTAACTCTGACTTAAAATTTAATAAGTTTTTAACTTTACCCTTATTAAATATACACTTTCAATAACATATTTTTTCTCTCCAACATTCAATGGAGAGTAAAAAAAAATTTATGATAATAATTTAATGATGTGATTTATAAATAGGACTAATTTTTTTTTCCTTTCTGTCATATAAAATAGGACAAGGGGGAGTACAGTCCAAAAGCTCTTCTAATGAATGCCTTATCAAATATTTTCCTTCTGTTTATCGTTTATCATTATTACATGTAATGAATTTTTATTTTTGCAAGAATCAGTTTCATATAATATTATGTTTTGCAATTAGAATTTATTTTCTATATCACAATGCAGAAAAGCTCTCCAAAAGTGTTGGGGAGAGCTTTTCATTAGTTGTGTATTGAATTAATTTAGAAAAGTAAAAGAAATTGCATGTAAAGAAAATGAATGCTTTCTCCTATTCACAGCTGTACACTGAATCAGATTTATTAGGGCTGTGCAAAAGTCTTTCAGTCCTGTCTGGTCCAATCCAACCCGAGATGATCTCAGTCTTGTTCGGTCTGTATAGTCACTGGTCCTTCAGGACCAAAAGGACTAAAAAGACCAGACTATTTTTTCGGGTTGGACTGGACAAGAGACCAGGTATCTGGACCACTTGGTCCAGTCCAGTTCTATTAATTTTTTTTATTATAATTATAATTAATTTATTTTTGACAAATGTTTAAAGTGTAATTGATGCTAAGGAGATGATTGCATAAAGATTTATTAAGTTTGTTTCTAAATTGTTATTGTAATATAGTGTTGTTGAATTTTGTTGAGTACTGTTTTTGTTAAAGTTTATAAATTTAAATAATTTAGATTATAACAAAAATATTTTTTTTCTTATTGTTAGACATTATTATGGATTTATTATTATTATAAGTATTTTTACTATCTTAATTGAGTTTATTATGTTGGAATGGATTATTGCCTCTCATAGAATAAAAAGAGGGAAAAAAAGCTAAGTGAGTACTGGACTGACAGGACCAGTCTCTCAGTCCTATGGACCAAGTTCGGTCCTGTTAATCTTCGGGTTATCACTGGATAAGACTGGACTACGGGTTGCCTAACCCAGTCTTTTTCATGAAAGAGACCGGACTTCGGGTTAGGGTGAAGTCCAGTGCCGTCCTGTCTTTTGTGCAGCCCTAGATTTATACATGACGGGCGAAGGAAAATAAACTCTAGTGTAACTCTTAATACCGTGCATGATATGATAATGTGATATCCGTGATTACATACTCTTTTCATTAAAAAATATAAAGTATGTTTTAAGAGTTAAATGTTAAAAAATGTAAAGTATTTTTTATTTTTTAAAGTATAATCATTTTCTTTTTTTTTAAAAGTGCTCCTATTGATAATAAATTTATATTTATTATAAATTATTTAATATAAGTAAATATAAAAAAATAAAGTTTGTTTGAAAGTAGGTAACTACTTTATTAAAAAATAAAATTTAATTAAAAATATTTTATATTTTTAAATGGAGGGAGTATCAGCATATATTACTATATCTGTACAGTGTAATGGACGTAAGTGCAACACAAGGGAAGGCGAGGCCCACAAGGCCCATGTCCACATTCTTCGGTAGCATATATCCGTACTTTGAAAAATAAAACATAAAAATATGAGATTTTATGTCTAATTTAATTTGGGTAGACTTTTTGCTCAAAAAAAGAAAAATTTGGGTAGACTTGTAGGCTTATTTGAATTATACTTGATTTATAGGGATTAAATTTGGAAAATTATGTGAGTATCTTAAAAGAATAAAAAAGAAACTTGGAGTGGTGAAAAATTTGGATTAAATTTAAAAGATTATGAATTAAATAGGATGATCATAAATAATTAAAAAAGGAACTTGTAGTTCAAGTCACACAGGAAAAAATGAGAAGAAAATGCGGATTAAATTTGAAAGATTCTGCATCAAATAGGAATATTTTAAACAATAAAAAAAAAACTCGGAGCCCAAGTTTACGGAAGAGAGAAATAAGGAAAAATTTTGGATTAAATTTGAAAAATTATGCATTTAACAAGAACGTCTTAAACAATAAAGGAGAAACTCTGAGTGCTAGTTACAATCTTGCCAAAGAGAAAATAAGAAAAAATTGGATTAAATTTGAAAGATTATTCGTTAAATAGAAACATCTTAAAGAAGAAAAAAGAAACTCGGAGCTGAGATGAATGTTTTTTTTTTTTTCCTGTGTAAAAAACTCGAGCATGGGGTGCTTCCCCACTGCAATTTCACTACTTGCTTTAGAATATATATTTTTAAATTTTGTTTGTAAAAAATGTAAAAATTAGCTTTAGCCTCCATATTTTAGGTGATTTTCAAATTTGACCCTTGTACGTGTTCCTGGATTCATTAGTGACTCAGAGTGCAAGATAAGGAGAACATTTGGATTAAATTTGAAAGATTATGCATTTAATAGGAGCATCTTAAACAATAAAAGAGAAACTTGAAGTGCAATTTATATATGGTCTTGCGGGAGAGAAACTAAGGAAAAAGTGGATTAAATTTAAAAGATTAAATAGGAGAATTTTAAACAATAAAAAAGAAACTCATAGTGCAAGTTAAGAAAGAAAAAATAAGGAAAAAACTGGACAAAATTTGTAAGATTTTGCATTTAATAAGAGCATCTTAAACAATAATAAAATAAAAACTCGGAGTGCAAGTTACATAAGAGAAAATAAGAAATTTTTTTTGAAAAATTTATATATTTCTAAATAGGAGTATCTTCAATAATAAAAAAGAAATTTGAAGTACAAGTGATGAAAAAGAAAATGAAAAAATTGAATTAAATTTGAAAGATTATACATTAAATAGGAATATCTTAAAAAAATAAAAGAGAAAGTTAGGATGCAAGTTACAAAAGAGAAAATAAGAAAAAATTTGAAGTGCAAATTATGAATACAACATAAGGAAAGAACATGAACTACAAGGTTTAGGAAAGGAGAAAAAAAATCAAGGTCAAAGATTATAGAGTAAAAGGCTAAAAGCTGTGATTTATGAATTAGGCCATAGAACTCTCTAGAAACATTAAAGATTTCTCAATGAAAGGAGGATTGGACTAGAGAGGGCTCTTGCAAAGTGCTAGAAGAGTGAGAGAATGTGTAGTAGAGGCTGAGGATTCAAGGTTTGTATATCTTGAAGTAGTTTTCTTAATCTTTCTTAATCTTTCTTGTATTTGTATTTTCATAGGCTATATATGTTGAATATTTTGTGGTTTTACTTTTAGCTAGGCGTGGTTAAATTCCTTTTTAAAATTAGTTTTTTTTTTTTTACTAAATCAGTGATTACTGCTAATTCTTTTATTTGTTAATTGCAATAATATTTGTGTGTTTGTTCTTTTTTCTATTTTTAAGTGCAACTTCCACAGCTCTATATTTGATATTCGTTTTTTTTTCCCCTTTTGGATAACAAGGCAAGTAGGATATATACAGGAAAAACGAGTACACAAAAAAAGGGCTCTCTGTAGTTAGTACAAAGAAACTAAAAGCCCCAGACCCAATAAACTACCAAACTAATAATCGTTTTTTTATTATCATATTATTATTTATTTTATGATATCTAATTAACTAATAATTATTTTTTATTATTGTAACCAAACATAAAAGAATAGATGATTTTTATAAAACTCTATAAAATAATTTTTTAATAAAATATTTAAATTATCTAAAAATAACTTATTCTTTAATTTTAAATAAATGGTTCTTATAGTGATCCATAAAAAGAAAAGCCAATGGTAATAATTAATGATGATAATGAAAATGGTTCTTATTTTTATTATTCTATATTTTTACCTGTGCATCTTTTTTACTTGTATATAAGTACTGTAAAAACTTGCTTAAAATAATTTTTTGAGTATTTGTAAGAATCTTTTTTTTTATGGGCAAGCGTAAAATAAAAAAAAATAAAAATTTTAAAATAATTTATTTTTGTGTACTGGTAATATGTTACTTTATGAAAATTTAAATTTAAATAAATTTTTTTTCTATTATGAAATTTTTTTACCCAAATATATTAAAGATAGAAATAATAATTTATTTTTATTTTAAAATATGTTGCTCCCATAATGAATTTATGAAGGCAACATTTACATTTGTGCCCTTCATTCAATTGTTGTGAGGGGAAACTTTGAAATTGTCTTAAAGACTAAATTTTCTGTTAAGTTTCACCTCATAATTATTTGAAGAAAAAAATTTATTCTCCAACAAATATTATTATGTTTGTCATTATTTTCTATGTCTAAATTTCTAAACAATAATTCCTATTTTACAAGGTATTGCCCTCACGCATACTAAAAATTATAAATATTTTTTTAAAATTTAGAATATCATGCAAAATAAAATTAGCTCATTTTCTTTAAGAATTTGTCGGTCCATGCATCATGAGAAAAATAAAACATGTATCATAATGAATCACACACTATAATTTAATATTATATAATTATTTATTAATCATATAAATGCCTATAATGATAAAAAAAATGACTAAGAAAAGTTTAGGATTCGGAGGTGTGGAATGAAAAATAAATTCATCAACTTCATAGGATTCAATTTGACGTACATGATTGCAATGTTTTTAATAGGTTTTTAAGTTATGGTATACTTGTATATATTAATAATAAATTTGTTAACTCATGCATACTAAAAATATCCACAATAACTTATTTTATTTTCACATATACTATTTTATAATTTATTACTCTTGTGTATATGATAAATATAATAAACAATTTGTTATCCTATGATGATAATAATAATGAAAATAGCATATATAAAAAATGGAGCATATGTGTACATCTAACAAAATTTTCAGCTCTGTGCATCGGTGTATGAGCCTCTCTGTACAAATTTTGCATGAAAGATATTCGCAGCACACAAGCCGACTTCTTCAGCCAATCCTATTTACTATTATATACTTTGGTGTTAACCAGCGACCTCCAATTCTATAATTCTCTCGCCGATCCCAAAACTGCTTCTCGCCGCCGAGATTCATATTGTTCTGCTAACCATTTTGCATGATTCTTCAAATCACTGCAATATTAACATAAACCAGGCAATTAGTATAAAATTACTGAAGTATGCAACTAAAAACCAATAAACCTTATAACTGCATGTTAGCTCCCCTGCCCACCAGATATTTTAAATAATATTTTAATTTGTACTTCAGAGCATGAATATGTTGCATTATAATGTCAAACTTAATTTAAAAAAAAAAAAAGGTTTCAAGCCCGATCTTTAGGCCGGTCAATAAGGACTGGTCTTGAAAGAATGGTTAATTTTAGGATAAAAGCCAGAAATGATCTGTTGCGAACTTGATAGATTGCTTACTTGCATCGTGGGACGCGACACTCCGAGTCCTGGCAATTCTTTGAGTGTAGCCTCAGCACCATCCATGCCTTCTTACAATGTGAACAACCACCGTGTGCTTTAACAGTGCACTTACTGGCATGGAAAAACAGCTTCTTGATCTGAAGACAATATGGATAAGAGCATTGTTGACTTATAGTTGATTTACATTGAGATGCATGCCTTAGAACTTCCAATAGTTTTTGTATCTGCGCGGTCAAGTGCATAAGTCAGAAATTGCACGTACTATGACAAAGAAAAAGAGAAGATGAAGGTGTGGTGGGAAATTGACAGTTCATTGTGTTAAGAAAGCAGGTTGTTTCATGGAACATGTCTTATATATCTTTTGGCCCAGCATAGAACTACTAATCCAACTGTAACTCTGATAAATTTATGAAAATCCAAGTTTCAAAGATTATAACTTAATATGGTAAAAATAGATTATAATATGAATTGATTGGTAGCATTAGATATTAGATGATTTGTCACAACAAAAGGGAAAAAAGGGCAATCAAATTAAAGCAAAAAGCCAAAAATAGCCAAAAGAAAAAGAACGGAAAAATAAAAAAGATCCAATACCTACCCGGGTAGTTTTCTGCTCTAACACCTGATTCTGAGCTTGTCTCAGCACGTGCTCATGGGAATTGGCACCTTTCTCCTCGTAGCATGCTGAGCAGATGGACAACTGTGGACAAATCTCACATTGCCAGCTCAGCTGGGACACATTATCTTTGCTGCAAATGCTGCATCTTGGATCCACGTTTAAAACAGAATTCTTGAGATAATAAAGAAGCATCATTGAGGAGTGCTTAGCATGACGGAGTGTGTCAAATTGAAGTCTATTCTCTTGGCAGAAACTCAAAAAATCAACCCTATTCCCAAATAATTCACTGTCCAGGATGATATCATTCTCCTTAGTATCACAAGGTATGTCATCCACGACCACCTGAGGAGCAAGCAATTCAAAAACATGTTAAATTCAATGGCAAGCTATACGTTGAAAGAGCCAAACTCATCAACTTTAGATTTAGTTCAGACAGTCACCTGACACAGTTTATGCGTCTCTCCACTTTTTGAAGTATGTGTGTAAGAAGTATGGCATCTAAAACAATAACAAGAAAGGTGTCAATATTAACAAGAACAGCGCAAAGCAGCAAAGTCTAAAAAGCAAGTCAGCGCAGTGAAGGAGCAAGTGGAGAGAAAAAGGAATTCAATTCAGATATTAGTTATAAATTTCGTAATTTTGATTCAAAGTTTAAAACTTCAGAAATAGCTTTTGCAAGAGCAGGAAATGCCAGATCTTTCTCAACCATTTAAGTTGGTTCGAAACTCAATCTTTTATATATAAAGCACCTGATCAATCTCTAGGTTATAGCAAAGGATCCTAGTTATAGAAGTCCGACCTAGGAAAAACTTAAACAGAATACTAGAAAACAGAAACATCATGTCTTGTAAAACAATGTCAGATTCTGATAAGTTGAAGCAAAACAAGCAAAACCACTTAAAAAGAACAAAATAAGAGGAGATATGAGAAGAGAAAAGAAAGGTACTAAACAAGTTCTGTCATAACTACCTGTCACACTGCTGGTATTCCTTGCACTCAGGGCAAAACCATCGCTTTCCAGACAATATCACCTCATGGCAAAGCGTGCATGCATGCTGCAACTGGACTATGATGAAGTCTTCCTTGACGGGTGATATAGTTTGGCCCAACTAATAAAAGGAAAGTTGAAGATGTCAGATTACGCTATCAAATGAATCATGAACTATTGAACAAGTCATATATTTAATGATTTTGGACTTTTGTATGCTAAAATGCTGAATTTTTCTACCAACAACAGTGATATAAAAATATGAGCAAAACACATGAATAAAAAAATATTCCTCTTATCAAGTTGTACAATAGCCACTGCTTCCAGAATGCAACAAAATTTTTCTTCTGCTGCTATGATCACTGTCCATGTCACATATGCTGCCTTTGGTCCTGGGGTGTTTCTCTAACAAGCTTTCTTTTCTGAGGTCCTTAGCTTTGTTTCAAGGGAAAATTCAGTATAGGATCTATGAAGACATTTCATTTCAAATTCAAACCTAAAAGATTCTGAAATTTAAAAACATGGCATGACCAAGGGACTAAAATGTTTTGATGGTACAGGTCTAAATTTAAATTTTGTTTTAATAGTCAATGACCAAAGTGCCCTTTATTTAAAAAATTCCTCCTACTCTACTAGAGTTGCTAATTCATGTGGGGGTTCAATTAGAGTTGATCCAAATAAGTCCGAACATAAAAAAAAATTTATATAGCCAAATTTGGCCCTAATAACATGGGCTTTCGGGTTTATTCAAGTTAGATTAAATATTTGAATTATTATCATTTTTAATTTTTTTTTGAACCAATTTCAATTTTACTTTAAAATTAATTAGTGTTGTTATTATATAAATAAACTTTTTGAGATGCTTAAAATATATAAAAATAAAATTTATTAAGAAAAATATGGGTCTTAAAGTTAAACATTAAGACATTTTATGTATTAAAAATTATATAAATATAATAATATGAAGCTTTTTAATTTTTAAGGAAGTATCTATAACAATGTATTTAAATATACATATGGAATGGATTAATTCATAAAAAGATTAATCAATATTTAATATGTATTATATATTTAAAAAAAAGGGAGAGAAGAAGATTTGAGTATTTAGGCCAAACTTAAACCTACTTGTGCTTGGCTTGAATTTTTTGAGCTTAGCTTAAATAAGCTCAGTTATAAAAAATAGTGACATTTTTTTAAGCATGGCTCTAAGATTTTTCAAGCCTTAACAATACCTGATAGAAGGGATGAAACTTTGGACCTATGACCCTTTGATTGACCAAAAGCATGTATAACTACTAAACCATTTGTGTTTCTTAGTTATATAATGCAAAATATTATATCTAAAATAAGCCAAATTTCCAAATCAAGTCTAATTAAATGGCATTTCACTAATGGCATATAATTCATTAAGGCCCCGTTTGGTATGATGGAATAGTTTTTGATGGAAAATTTGTTAGCAATAACTTTTGCATATTTAATCTTGTTGATTTGTTAAAATATGAAGTATACTTATTTAAACTCTAACTTGTTATTTTAGTAATACTTACTTGTCAATTTATTAAGGAAAACTTGTTAACAATACTTTTTATATATTCAATCTTCTTAACTTGTTATAATATGCTTATTAAATCCTAATTTAATTCCTGATTTTAGTAACTTGCTGCAACATGAAATTCTCCCTGGTTTTAATCAATCACTCATTTCCAAGTCTATACAGTGAAAAGATTAGTTTCGGTTCTTTAAATCCATGGAGTTCAAAGCTTGTCTCCCATGCATTGCAGCACATCCCTTTCTTTTGGGTGATTCGATTTGAGTTTATCTACGCCTCAGCATGCAAAATAAAATTCTCACAAATCATGCCTGACTTTGGTCCCAATAAACTCATAACACCATACTATTAAATTTCCTCTAGTCCTTATTATAAAACATCTTTAATTATTTCACTAAAATTAATGGGAGGTGGTTAAGTTATTAATTTTATTTGATAATATAATAAAATTTTAATTTTATCTCTATTTAAATAAAAAAATTTAAATTTGCATTACTCTTTTTTATAGTTAATGAATTTAAATAAGGGTAATATTGAAAAAAATATAATTAATGCTCCATCAAATGTCTTATATTAAAGACTATTTTTTTTTCCCCAGAAGATGTCTTATAATAATGATGAGAAGAAAAACCTGTATGAATTCATCTAGCTATTGCTGCAATCATTAAAATCTTCTAAGCTAACTAAGAAGCTATTTACGCTGTCATATATGAAGACATACTATACAGATAAATACAGGCGAGAGACTAGATAGCTTACTTTTTGCATCACCAGAATGTCTTTTGTGGCGCCTTTAGAAGGGTTTGCATGTCCCATTGCCTTCAGAGCTCGTTTGGTCAATACTTGTTTCAACTTTCTGTTGTACTCTTCTTTACTCTCTTGTTCAATTCTCTTGATTACATCCACAGCAGCACCAGACCAGTAGTCTCCATCAAAGTAAGGCAAGCGAGCAGCCGTCACCTTGGAGTAGCATTTTTCAGCAGGAACAAAGAAATGATCATAGATATTTGTCAAACCAACTACAATGCTTTCTTCAGTAGCCTTGCTCAGCATTGAACGATACCTGTACAAATTGAACAGGCAATGTAAATATACCCAAAATTATGATCAGTAAGTAAATCACAAGCGAATACAACAAACATGCATAAAGATTGAGAAAGAAAGAAATACCAATGTCTTAGTTTATCACCCTTTGGAGTTTTCTGGCTCTGAGGATGGCAATATAGCACATAATCTTCTCCTTTCAAAGGTGGACATGCCCAAATGTAACATTTTCCGAAACCTCGTTTCTTGCAAAATTCAAGGTATCCAATCTATGCATAGCGAAATCAAAAACGCAGAATTAATACAAATTCCAATAAATTTAATTAACTTTGAATATAAACTGGGAAAGGAATTTATGAGCAACAAACCAATATTTCATGGTACACAAATGTACGAAGAGCTTCTCCAGTCACGGTCTCTCTTTGTGGCCTAAAATACTTGACCGAATCAAGATATGAGATGTACACACTACGATGATTTGGGTGACCACATTCTGAACCAAATTCCTGGACGAAAACAACATAGATGCACATGTCTACTCCCTCAATATTCTGGAACAAAAGAATAACCTGCAACAGAAACTAGCGCGTAAGTTCTAACCTGTATAATGAGAGGGCTTGTCCTGAAGAAGTCACCGAACAAAATTATTCAGAAATCAACCTCTCAACTTACTTTTGACGTATATGGGAACTCTGGAGGGTAGTTTTCCCCACACAGGATGTCAAGAAACTCCCTTTTCACTTTCAATTGCTTTTCAACTGATTGCACCACCCTTACAGTGAGCTTTTCTGCTCCAGAAATCTGCAAACCAAATGCATAAATTGAAAATTAGCAAATAAAGTAGTAAAAAATGAAAGGTAATTTAGAACTAGTTTACTACTCTTTTGCCTGTTCGCTTGTTTAGTAGAAAACAACAATGGGACATAATATAATAACAAAACTTCTGGTATACATATTTTTCAAATAGATGTGACATAATATAATAACAAGACTTCTGATATACATATTTTTCAAATAGATGTTCAACAACTGTAATTGTGCTGCAGTTTGCTCCGTACCTCATCAACATTCTTTCCTTCAACTTTTGCCTTGTGCGCTCTCTCATGCTCAAGCCGCGAAAAAAGTCTTTTCTCTATGTGGTCACTAAGCTTGGTCCTTGGCAAGTCCTTAGCACCAAACACAGAAGTCCCTAAGGGTGTACGAATTCCTTCTTCGATTTCCTTGGAGCAGCATTTGGGACACACATACTGAAATTTTCCTTCTAAATTTCTCTTATTGTTGAAGAGCGCACATATCTGATGTTGCCACCTCTGACATTTATCACATTGAGCCCACTAGAGGAAGCAACACATATAGGGTGAGTTTATCGTTCTCTGTACAGTATACACAAAAGAATTATACGACATAAATAGTTAACTTACATCTTCTCCTGGGGCATCATCGTTTTTCTTACTTTCAAGTATTGTCTTCGGAATAGATACCCCGTTGAACTGGATAGATTCACCAGGAGAATTTTTGAAACAAGGGGAGCAAAAGCACTGTTCTGTCTTCCTCTCTCCTGCTCTACTGTAAAATTTTGTGTTTCTTTTGATGCGTTTGCCACAAGATAGACAATAGATAGGCACTGGTGCAAAGAAAAGCTTCTCCAGTCCACACAGCGTGCACGTGTTATCCCCAACTCCAATTTCTTCAAGTGTACTCTGTTTCAATAGACGCATTAGATGTTAAAAATTATAAGAAAACGTATTCACGAACCTTAATTAACAACCTGAACTGTTGAATTGTAGTCTTTGACACGACATCAAGGTCTCTATAACTAAATAGTAAAGGGCATGTTCCTTGCAACTATCTATTCTTTTAGAATTTTAATGAAGTTACATTTCAGCATAAGGCATGTGAACTTGTGCATTGCTAACACTTAAAGCTCAGATGGCTTGTGTGAGAAGGGATGTTAGAAACTATGATAAAAACTATTCACAAGCCTTCGCATTAGTGCTTAAGCTTTTTAGTTGAAATGGAGGTGAACATATATGAATGCAAATTGAAATTCTCGTATTAATCACATCCAAGGACCAGAGAAAGATGCAAGAAATAAAATAAAATTAAAGGAATTGAAATGTTAATATAACCCTCCCCCCCCCCCCAAAAAAAAAAAAAAAAAAACTCACACATATAGAAACAAGGTATTATGAAGATAATAGCAATTGCTTAAATGCCTTACTAACCTGGCCAAAACCCTGCCTTAGACTTAAAATGTGTTGCCTTATTTGATCATATGTGAAAGTTTCAGTCAAGGAAACACAGCTTGAAGTTGGTTTTGAAGAACTTTCTCCACTCTCTAAATCAGATTTTGGCTCAGTAACTTCCTCTGTATTGTTTTTAACAGACTGGTTGAACTCATTTCTGCTCTGAACATCGTCTATATCAGAAATAAGATCTTTCTGAAGAGTGTGGTCACTCGAATTAGAAAAGCCAACATCATTCCGTGGGTTACAGACTGTCAACTTCACATCATCACTGTTGAGGTATGAATCCTCCAATGTGTTGCCAGCTTCTATGCCTTTAGGGATAGTCCTACTCTTGTCAGTCTGTTCAAGTAAATCATAGGAAACACCACTTGTTATTGGATTTGCATCTAAAGACACTGTTCCCTGCTTTAAATCATATTTTGGCTCAATAACCTCATCTGTAATGCTTTTCCCAGTCCGGTCGATCCCATTTTTGACCTGTCCCTCCATTATATCAGCACAAGGATCTTTCTGGAGACTGCAACCTGATCTGTTAACCGTATTGCTTGAGTTTCTGGCTATCACACCATCGCTTTCGGGGTATGACTCCCCCAATACACCATCAACTTTTGAAACTTGAGAAATAGTCTCATTATCAGAGGTGTCCCCAAATACACCAACCGAAACAGTCATTATTTTTGGATTTGAAGACTTCATTTCCTTCTCTAAATCAGCTTTTGGCTCAATAACTTCTTCTGTAGTTTTCTTCCTGGCCATGTCAAACCCACCTCTTTCCTGTACACCGTCGATATCACCACAGCGATCTTTATGGAAAGTTTGGACACTGAAACCTGATCTGCTAACAGCATCCATATTGCTTTCGGGGTATGACTCCTCCAATACACCATAAACTTCTGAACCTTGAGAAATAGTCTCATTATCAAAGGTGTGTCCAAGTTCACCATCCGAAACAGTCATTATTTTTGGATTTGAAAACTCTATTTTCTTCTCTAGATCAGCTTTTGGCTCGATAACTTCTTTTGTAGTTTTCTTCGCGGCCCGATAAAACCCACCTCTTTCATGTACACCATCTCTATCAGCACTAGGATCTTTCTGGAAAGTATGTACGCTGGAATTTGATCCACTATCATTTTCCCCAAAGTTTCTGGTTACCTCATCATTACTTTTGGGATATGAATCCCGTAATTTCTGACTAGCTTCTATGCATTCAAAAATAATAGTTTCTATGCCAAACATATTGTTGTCTATTTCGCTAAAACTTGCAGAATCTTGCTTTGCATTCGCTGATGATTCCGTGTTGTTCTCTGTAATTTTAGAATAGATAGGAAAGGAAGATTCTGGCTGTTGCTGCAATTCTGGAAGCCCTTCAGGAGAATTGGTTAGAACCATATTGTAATCCCATGGGTTATGAATACCATTATTTCTCATAGAGACATCAAAAGTAGGTTCGATTTTCAGTCTTTTGGCAGGTGGTAAGATGTCTTCAAGGTAGCCATGACCTCTTACAGTAGAAGTCATGGTCATGCTGTTAGCAGAATCCAAACTATGACAATCACCCCTTCGGCATTCATCAAAATGCCACGAAGCTCCATTAGAACCATCTAGGCATGCTGAACTTTCTGAAGAAAATTGTTGATTTACGTTCATAGCTCTTGAAGAAAGCAGTGGCTGATTCAATGTTTTCTGCCCCTGCAATTGGCAGCAAGTTTCATCTTTACTCACAAAGCAGGGTCTTGTCTCGGCAGTATATCCTTTAGCACCATGCACATATGACTGCTTAAAATGTTGGCAGTTCGGTTGACTATCCAAATTCTGGGGTTGATATTGCATTAAATTGTTAACGGTTGAGTACCGATGGCAAGAGTTCTGGACTGGAAAATTATTGAAAGCTGGAGAAGCTTCCGTTCTCACAAATGGAGGGATCATCAAATTTCCATATACGGACAGCGGGGGTTCTCTCAGTGTAGTGACAAAAGCCGAAGATTCATTTCCACTATACTTGGTCCGATCCATCCTCACTGCCAAAGTAGCAATTCAAATGAGTACACAAGATTAAAAGTAGGAAGACTTCAGACAAAAAAGGGAAAGAAAGTTGAGACAACCGAAAAAAATTGATTATATACAATGATAAACTGCTAGGAAGAAATCATATAAGATTATTTAAGATACCATGATCTCCATGTTGCTGCTGAAAATGGGAGAAAATTGGTTTGGTGTTTGATTTCAGATTGCTTGTTCCGCCAGAAGCATTGAAGTTAGAAAACCCATCTGAACCAGTGCACCTCAGAAATGAACAGCCATTAGAAGAAAAAATTGTCTCATTGCCAGCAGAACCTTGAGACTGCCTCCTGTTTGAAAATTCGTACTTATTAGTATTGTTCACAACCACCGTGCTATAATCAGTGAAATTAATGTTACTAGCAGCAAACATCTGCGAAGCTGGGGCTGCTTGATTTCTGTTATGCCAAACATTTGATAACCCAGAAGAGGGACCCTTCATTGGCATGTTAGTATTATAACTGTTTACTTGAGGACCGAATATTGTTCCTTGTAGCTGGTTCTCCAATCGTTGGACCAATGTATCCTGATTCTTATACTCATTCTGCAAAATATTAATTAAAAAAAATATCAATAAACGGCCAGAGGTGCTTTATTTAAAATCAAAAGCCTCAGGCACATACAACATAATTATTAAACAGACAAACCTCTGAAGCAGCTTGATCAAACAGGCAGGTTTCCACAATACGTGCAATCTTGGGTACCTCCTGCCGTGCCTCGTTATCAAGATTATTTTTGGAACTCAAAAAATCAGAGCTGGAGCAGAATTTGATTTATTAGTTTCAACTAAAAGAAAATCTTATACAGAAGTAAATGCTTCCAGTTATATTTTGGCATCTCTACTACTAGATTTTGGAAAATAATACAAGTACACGCTAATAAGAAAACCACAATTACTTACATTTTTCCTCTTATCGATTTTCGGGTATGCTTGATTTCTGCTCTTTTGCGCCATTCAGTGGAATGGCCAGCTTGATTTCTTATATAGGCATTCATCTTCTCTGAATCAGGAGAAACCAGAAGATGGCCGCCCTACGACACAAAGAAATTGTTATCATCACAGGTTCGTATAGCCATCACAAATACTTAAAAACCGTTAAGTACAAATAAACAAGCACAAGATTAGTATCTAATTACAAAAGAATCAATTGAGGTTGTATTCATATTAATATCTAGTAAAACCAACTAAATAGCATCTAGCATTCTAAAATCTTATTCTTGGGGTGTCTTGATCTTAGACCATCTTCCTGCAAGGAAGAGATTTATAACTATAAGTACAGGGTAGCAGTTGATGAATAAGAAGTGAACATTTCTCTGAAGCTCCAAACTCATTTTATGTTAATATTCGAAAGTTCTAGGCATTGCAGAAATGACAAAACATTATGGCAAATTCTAAATCAGTTTTCACATCTTAGTCTTTCTCCTCAAACGAAACCATCCCGAAATCCGTCAATAGAAGGATTTATAAAACTCAGTATCTAAACCAGACGCGAGCTTTAACAGTGATCCTAGACAAAACTTTTACTCCAGCATGCGACAACAGATTCAACATTGCTGTATATATGAAGTCATATTATTATTACCGAACTTTTAAATGACCACATGAACAGTGGAAAATAAAAAAGAGAACTAAAAATGAACGACCCTTTGTTAGTGTACATCACAATTATCCATTTTCAGAATTGCAAGGTCACTATATGTTACTTTTCTTTCATCATATTTTAAACTATGCCAATAAGGATAGTAAATGAGCCACTGAAGTGGTCATCACCTTCACTTATTTATTTTCTTTTTGTTACTGTACAAAATTACTACTACCATCTAATATCTAACGTTTGATAATTGATTCTCGTCCAAAACAAAGTGTTTGATAATTGATACTGCAGATAAAAACATGGGGCTTCAAATAAATGATAGCTCTTTTTTTTTTTTTTGGTACAATGATAGCGCTTTTAATATTTTTTTTTTCAATATCAAATGAGAACTTATTAAAGGGTTATTAAATTCCTTAATACTTGACAGAGCCCCATCTGTATTCTTTAAACACTCTCATCCGCAAGACTTGCATGGCCTAATTCAACAATGGAATTTGGTTAACCCGGTTCAAGTTCAAACATTGAAGTTCAAAAATCAATTCAACATTGTTGATTGTTTTTTGAACTGCAAAAGAAGACATTCCTTTAAAGTTGAACCCCTTAATTCAACGGACAACGCAAAAGAAGGATCATCCTCGAATTTAATTCGCCTTGGTTAGGCCACTGACATGGAAGGAAAACATAAATTAAAAGTAGGGTTTGGAATTAGTAAATAGAAACGTCAAGAACAAGGAAGATGGAAACAAGTTAGAAAACAAATCTAAAGAGGATGCGGTATCATATAGAGAAGAAAGAAAAGGGTTTAAGGAAAGCACCATGATCCACAAAATTAGGTTGAAAGAGTCATAATTAGTCCCAAAAATAGCGCGCAGAGACAAGAGTTGTGTTGTATTTAAAAATAAAAAGAAAGGAAAAAAGTTACCTAAGCAGGGCTGAAATCTCTGGTCTTTGTCCTGTCTCTGTCACTCGCTCGCTCACACACTCTCTCTCTCTCTCTCTCTCTCGAACTACGCAAAGTTTCGTGGTGGGCCGATGTGTTTCTCTGCTGTGGGCGCCGTAATACTCTTTGAGAAAACTACAATTAAGGATTGATGATTATATATAGGCCAATAAAATAAAAATAATAACTAGATTATTTTAAATAATCTTGAAAAAAATTATATTTTTATTTTTTTATAAATCAATTTATTTTATACTATAAAACCGAACTTGACTTTTATTTTGTAAAAGTGGTTTTTTAATATTTAAACCGCAAACAGAAATCTAGTTACGAAGAGAAAATTATATATTTAAAACATAAATATCTCATCTGCAACTAGTAAAATTCATGAATTTATAATCATTCAAATTAATAATTTCAATTTATTTTTCAGAAGAATTTGTGGAGATTTCACTATCATTAATTTAATTATAGGGACCTTACTGTCATTCTTTTTAATTTTCTTTACAGCAATCTGCCTATAATAAAACATTGGACTAACGTTAACATACGTTGGTCCTACGGGAAAAAGTTATGATGATCTAACCATCTTAATGTTAAAATCAAATTCGTCTGGTTTTAACTTGTAATTCATAAAGCACGTGTTAAATATGAATATTATGAACTGCAAAGTATTTTCTGTCCTGTCCCATTTATAAATCACAATTTAAAAAGTTTATTTAATTTTATTTTTAAATTATGATATAATTTTTTAGATAATATTTAAAAAATATTTTTTAAATTATTCTTCACGAAAGAAAAAAATAATATGACATTATTTTTTAAATTTATCATATAAAAATATATTTAAAATTTTACATATTTTTATTTTTTTATTTTTTATATTAATATTGATAAAATTAATAAAAATAATTTATAAAGAGTATTGACAGAATAGTTTATCATACTCACTTGTTGGAACTGTGATCGAGATAGTCTCTGCACGTAATATGCCTCAAAGACCAGGTGATCACCAAAAGTTCCGAGAAGGAAAAAAAAAAAAAAAAATAGATGCACACAGAGTAACGAAATTCTGCCTCGTATTCATATGATTAGATTATAATATAAGGATTATCTTTTTTTTTTTTTTGCCAAAATAAGGATTATCTGTTTGACCTTCAAATATAAGGATGATTTAAATCATCATTATCATTATTAGATATATAAAAATAAAATTAACAGCCCATAGATTCATACCACGTGTCCTTTTCCCCCTGATTCTGTTCTTCAAATTTAGATTTGAAATTAAATTTGAGATAATTTATTATTATATATATATAATAAAACAAATTTTGATTATTTCTGAAAAGTTTGGTTTGGAAAATAAAATCACACACACACACATATAAAGGGGTGGTTACAGGTTGTATATATGTTATTTTTCTTTAACTAGATTTATTTATTTGAAATTTAAATTAAATCATTTTAAAATAAGTAATTAAATTATTTTATATTTTTGCACAATAATATAATTAACTGTTGTTTATATTTTGAAAGTTCTGATTTAGAATATAAAATAAAAAACCATATATATGTATAAAATAAATTAAAGGAGTGGCTACGGTTTTATATATTTTATTTTCTTTTAACTATATTTTTCTATTTAAAATTCATATTAATATTTAGCCATGGAACAATCTTATGATATTTTCTTGTTTTTCACAGTTTTATAGCATTCTTTCTCATTTATCTTATTAGATTATGCAATTAGTTGATCTTATTTAATTTGAAAATATACTCCATGTTGCTCCTAAAAAATATAGGCTTAAAATTTAATTGATTTAAAATTTAAAACTCTTCTGGATTTTAATAACTTTATTTCCTTAAGCTTCCCTGGGGGCTACACTAATTACTAATATCATGGGTTGAGATGTTAAGTCCATTGAATCACAAGGGAGATGTTGGTCAAACCTTTTTCAACAATCTACCTATGGTGACGACACATGGAGATTTGCCTTTCTTCCTTTTCCTCCCTTAAACCAAACAGGGCTAAGGTGTGTTATGGAATTAATCGGAGAGAGATAGAAATAAATTAACTAAGAATATTTTTACATATTTACACCCACATAATATCCACTATTTTCCTATATTTTTTTACAGGATCCAAATTCGTAAATTCATCGGTTTTCGTTAATGCTCCTTAATTAAATTAAATAATTGTTTGACGTGAGTATGGTACGGGTTAAAGGATAAAATCTTGTGAATATATATTGCTTCTCTATTATTGTAAGCCTGGATTAGAAATTTAACGCAAAAAATTAGAAAAATCATTTTATATAATTAATTATTCATGCCCATGTAATTAATTAAAGCATCAAAGTACAGTTTAATTTTAATTTTCAATCGTTAAAAAGGTACTTTTTGAATGTTTATATATTCAGGCAAAAACAAATATTCTATTTAAAAGAGGATATTATGAAGAGTTAATGTTATTAGCTTTAACTGAACTAGTGTGGCACCTGTGCCATGGCCAAGGTATTTTGTAACCTAAAATAAAATAATTTTAGAATATTAATAATATAAATGAAAAATATTTGCATAAAAAAATGTAATTAATATATTTCTAATAACAGTTTTCTTGTAACAGTAACTTGTTTGCCTTTTCCTTCTTTTCTGTGTTCTTGGCTTGCAGGGAAAAAAAGAAAGAAAGAAAAAAATAGGAGGAGCGGAAATGAAAAGAAGAGAAAAGTATAGAGATATAATTTTCTCACATTATGTTTGGCTGAGTAAGAAAACAGAGAGAAAAAGTTATTAATTTTATATGAACAATAATAGCTTTATTATTTATAAAAATATTTATATAATAAAATTTAATATTTTAACATATTATATATATATATAAAAAATAATTTTATCATATATTATTGATCAAACAAAAATATAATTAAAAATTATTTACCCACTTTAAAATTTATTTATTAAATTATTAAATATATACTTAACTAAAAATTAACCAAAAAATTTAGAATTAGTATTTTTTAATTAATTTAAAAATTAAATATGTTATTTGTTTAACAAAGATCCATAGCCAAAATGTAACTACATTATAAATATCCTCATAATTGAAGAGAAGCAAGAGGTGGCAACCAAAAAATTAATGTATAGATTTGAAAATAAAATTTTTTTTCCAAAATCTCCTCATAATCAGAGAGAAAAGTTAGAGGTAAAAATATATGAATCTTACATGATATTTTTTTTCATATTTTTCTCTCTCTTCCACGTTTTTGTGTAGCTAGGTAGAGAAAAAATGTAATTTTTTCTTTACTTTTTTCCTTTTACTTTTCTATCATGCCAAGCATAACATTTATTCTCTTCCCAAATTACGTGCCACTTGTAAAAATTGCATTCTCACAATTTTTAATTATTATTTCAAATTTCAAATAAAAATGGTTGAACAGCCCGTAATAAATAAGCTAGATAAATGGGTTTGAAGAAGATCAATGTATTTACGGATTGTACAGATGCTTTGAACCTTCTTCTCATATATAACCAGGAGCTTCATCCACATTCGAAAATTATTGCCTAGGATCATCTATCCCTTTATAAGGAATGGGATTTGTCTTATAATCTTATGTTTAGGAAGACTAACTTTAATGCTCATTTTTTTGGTCAAGTTTGTTTTAAATAGAGTTTTAGTCTTTTGATTAATCTCGTCTTATCATCTTTTTTTTTTTTAAGACTTCACCTTATTATCCAAAGGTGATAAATGATGATAAGGGACTCTTTAGCAAGTTTTCTTGTGGGCTGTTATTGTTACTCCGTTTCCTTTATAATTCAAAAAAATTTAAAAAAAAATGTGGACAAAGAGAGTCCAATAGGCCGGTCAACGATCCTGCATAATTGGCAGATTTTTACGTTTCTCGGGTTGCGCTCCATGCTCAATATGGCTTGCTTGAAACTCTGTTTCCCAAAAGCCCTTGCCTATGTTGAGCGCATTTAAATTTTAGTTGGATTAAAATAAATTTTTATTATAATTAATTATGTTATAAAATAAGGCTGTTTGAATAATATATTTTAAAATTTATTTTAATAAAATTAAAAATATTTGGATGATTTTAATCAAAATTATTTTTAAATGTGTAAATTACAATAAAGAACATGAATTTTAGGGTAAATATTGATAAAATTATATGTAATATATGGGACAATCGTTTGATCCCTCTAATTTTAATTTGATTGTAATTAAATTAATTATTAAAATTTAACTTATTATAACTCGCTCGTTATAGTTATGACTTAGTTACAACAAATTATTAATTTTTCCATATTATTAAATTTATTTTGATTTATTTAACAAAAAATATAATAGTGATATATTTAACAAATGCATATAATAAATGTTTGAAACTTTAATAAAATGAATGCATAGGGTATATCTGAATGCAAAGAAGACGTCCCCAAGCCAAGCAATGTCATAAATTATAAGCCACGAAATGCCAAGGGTATATTGGGTACTGCATGTGCAAAATGCCAACATCATAGAGCATGAATGGCTACGTTTTGATATGCTGACAAATAACTTCTGGTGTTTGTAAGGCAAGATGGAGACTAATGCAAAATATGACCAATTTTAAGCTTGTTATTCAAATTTTTATCATATAGATATGCTTTACTCTCCATAATTATATTAGAAAGATAGACTTAGATGATTTGGATATTCTTTAAAATTTTAAGAATCTAAATGAGTTATAAAATAGAGAACGACATTTTAATGATGAGAATGATAATAATTAACCTGATTATGATAAATGACAAGATCTCACATAAGCATATGTCAAATACATAACAGAAATGAGAAATGATATTAAAGATCAGATGTTAAGACAAATGTGTCACTCGATTTTTTTTTCTTTTTTTGTTTTTTGATGTTAGTAATAGCTTTGTCATTTACTTTAATGGATTGGAGTTTGGAATGATTTATTTTAAATAATATTACTAAAGTATCTACAAATTTATTAAAAAAATTTTTTTGTACAAATTTAAAGAACTTTTTTATCCAAACATTTTTCTTTAAAAAATATTTTTACACGTCTATTATTATAATTTAATAAAAAA